GAATAAAATTCTGACAAACACCACAGCATGGATAAACTTTGAAAACACTAGGCTGAGTGAAGGAAGCCAGACTCAAAAGGACACATATTGTAGATTCCATTTATATCAAATATCTGGAACAGGCAATTTCATAAAGACAGGTTAGTGTTGCTGAGAGGGGGGTGTAGGGAGTAGAGGGGTAATGAAAGAACTGCTTAATAGCCATGAGGTTTCCTTCTGAGAGGATGAAAATGTTCTGAAACTAGATTGTGTTGATGGCGGCACATCGTGAATGTACCAAATGCCACCGAACTGTACACTTTTAAAATGGCGAAAATGGCAAGTTTATGTCATGTGTATTTCACAATTAAAAAAAATGCATTCAAGTACACAGGTAATTCATGAATTCACTAATCAACAAACAAATCAAAGTTGCGGAAGTGAACTTTGCAAGTTAACGAAAATAAAACAGTGAAGCAAGAATTAAAGGTGCTAAAATAAATCCTGGGAGTAGCCACTGCAATAAAGAAGCAGGCTTGTGGAGTGGGATTCACAAAACAACTTTATTGCTGTCTTCTACTGATCCTGACATCCAATCTGTGGGAGCAGCACATTTCCTAACTCTAGAAGGAAACTCAGGCCTCCCCAACTTTTCTAGTCAATCTTATTTAATAATAACAATAAATCCCAGTCACTTGAGGAACAGAACAGTCTCAATTTAGAAATGTAAGTGTCTGACCTCATGTTATAATCAAAACAGCTTCTCATTTGAAGTGAGGGCTTCTCGGCCTGCTAAAGGTGGGAAGCCAGCATCTGGGAAGGGAGGCTTCCTTGCTTTTTAAGGTTTAGGGCAGTGGGAGTAAGGAGAGGAAGGCAAAGCAAGAGAGTAGCCTTCGTTGAGGTGTTGTGGTGACTAGGCACTGGCTTGGCAAACAAGATCTTTCTTACATGGGCTCCCCACTCCTCAGAGTGGCTCATCCCATTCCTTCTCCTAAGCACCCCATCTTTGCACCCATCACCAGGGATCTCTCAGGGGTGGTGCCTACCCCACAGGCTCTTCACTTTCTGCTTGTTATTCTGCACTGCAAGTTAGAAGTGCACGTCCTGGAGAAGACCCCTGCCTCTTGGTCAGCTTGAGATGACCCCATGCTGGTTCTCTTCCATGCAGCTCACATCTGACCCGCGGGAGGCAGGCACGCATCCCCCGCCCCGACCAACTCTAGAAATGGATGCTGCACCCAACTCAGCCACCTCTCCCTTGCTCCATCATCAAAGCACCTGGCATCTCCTTTAGATTTTTCCCCGACAGGGGTCTGTCTAGTCCACTGGATCACCACCCTACGAGGACACATATTAAGCTCCACTGAGGCCCTTTGCCCTGGCCTTGGGGCAAGGGGCAGGTGGCATCCACTAGTCTCCCTTAGGAGGCTCAGGACACACAATGGCTCTTGTCAAAGAAATCCCCACCCAAAGTACTCTTCCTTCAACTCTAACTCCTAACTCTTAGATGCTCAGTGTGGGTAAGAGTTCAAGGAAGCTCCAGGTTTTTTACCATCTTCATTGTAAACACAGCATATGGTACAGGTATGTGGGCATTTAAATACCTACATTCATTATTGAATAGAGGAACAGCTACCATTGAGCCCTTCATTTGTCCCAGACATGGCACTAAGCCTTTTTTGCAAACATCTCATTTAAAGTTAATAGGTATGTGTGCAGCTACTTTGATTTATCATTTTCTTTTTTTTTTTAAGATTTTTATTGGGGAATTGGGGGATGGGAACAGCGCTGGGGAATTGGGGGAAGGGGAACAGACAAGTTGCTGCCTTTTTGTTCTTCAGTCTAGTTGTGGAGGACGTTGCTTCACCGGCCCAAGTTGGCACTATCATTGCGCTTTTCCCAGGTGAGGCAGATCAGTCGCCGGCTTCTGGATGGCAGCTCACGGTGGCTTGAGGGCTGCTCCCGCTGGCTGCTGGCTACACATGGTAGCCCATGGCAACCCACTGCAGCAGGGGCTGCAGCCTACGCCATCGCCGGCGACTCATGGCAGCCCAGCTCCAGGTTGAGCTGTTGTTCAGCATCTTAGCTGTAGAGGGCAGTGTCACTGGCCCTCATATGTGGGATCCGAACCGGGGCCCTCTGGCATCCCAAGCCAGTTCTTAACCAACACACCACTCAGCCGGCCCTATCATTTTCATAACTAAGAATTCATAGATAACTGGCATTTAAAACTCTGTGGAGTGCATAATTATTAAGATTTTCAGTAGGAAAAAATATTCTGGAAGCCTAGTCACAGAACTTCAGTTCTGGAAGCAACTTCTGCGGTAACTTAGTCAACCTCATTCGTTTCCTTTAAAAAGCTGCTGAGGTCCTGAAAAGCTGAAGGGGTTGCTCAAGGTCATGACAGTGAGAAATCAGAAGATGTGGGTTATCACTTGCCACAGCTGCCTTTTATGTGTAAAAAATATTAGATGAGGGAGCTGGCTGAGTGGCTCAGTTGGTTAAGAGCTCACTCATGAATGAGCTCTGAGCAACAGGGTCGCTGGTTCGATTCACGGCCCGAGCTGAGCTGCTACTGAGCTGCCAACAGGTGGCAGGATGACTCAGCTAAAAAAAAAAAATCAGATGAATTTTGATTCGTGCTGCTAATTTTAACATTTATTAAACCAGTGTTAGAAATAAAATTTTAATGCAAAATAACTATCTCAGTCTAAAAAACAACAAACGGGGTTTCCGACACTACATAGAGCTGTATGAATCCCAATCTACTGTGCAGTAGAATAATGGATTTTGTTTTTTTAGATTTTTATTGGGGAATTGGGGGAGGGAACAGCATTGGGGAAACGGGAAGGGGAACAGACAATTCCTTTTGTTCTTCAGTCTAGCTGTGGAACTAGTGTGTAAACGTCACTTTACTGGCCCACGCTGGTATTATGATCATTGCACTCTTCCCGAGTGAGGCAGATCAGTTGCTGGCCATTGGACGGCCGCTCATGGCAGCTCACGCTGGCTGCCGGCCACTCACAGTAGCTTATGGCAGCACACTGCAGCCCCACTGCAACCTACATCGTCGCCGGTGACTCATGGCAGCCCAGCTCCATGTTGAGCTGTTGTTCACCGTCTTAGCTGTAGAGGGCGCAGCATCACTGGCCCATGTGGGATCCGAACCGGCGGCCCTGCTGCTCAGAGCTGGTGTCCCAAGCCAACTCTTAACCAGCGCACCACTCGGCCGGCCCGAATAATGGATTCTTAATCGAATCTGCGCCTCAGAGTGGAGAAATAATTTTTAAATGGGAAATCTCATGGAGGTGGTGACAAGAAATGAGCAGAGCCAGATGAATGATCCGAGGAGAAAGGAAGATAGCAAACCGGGCCAGAAAATAGCTTTTTCTTAAAGATCTCAAGTAAACCAAATGCAGATTGTTTGTGCCTAGACAATGAACTATCTTTAATCGCATCTTGCTAGTCTTGGGTCTCTTGAGTTCTGATCCTTATAGATGACGATCTGCAGGATTTCATATATGCTCATATATACCAGGTGTGCTCCAAAAAATGTATAAAAGTAGACACTTTGGTCAACATTGCTCAAGCAGTAGTTTGCAGTAATCAGAAATGTCTTGACACTGATGGTAACCACTTTGAGCACTTCTTGTAATTGCAGAAGTCAAATGTGACTTGAACTCATCTTTTATTATCGGTATATATTGAGTATTACGATTTTAAGTTTTCCTTTCTTAAAATGTATATAAATATTTTTTGGCACCCTCTGTATATATATCATTATCATTCATCTAACAAATATTATTGGGAACCTAGGACATACATACCACCCAGCATTCTCAGGCTTTAGTCCTGCATTCTTCTCATGCAACACAATCATAAGCTTTTTGGGTTGGCAGGGAGCCTAGAAATAATCTAGTCCAATACTACATTTCAAAGGTAAGAAAACTGAGGCCCAGAGAGACTAGTACCTTGCCCAGGAAGGTCACACAGTTAATGGCTCTCATCACCAAAGTTAAGCATTTTGACAGATTCATGAACTCTTGGGCAGTTCCATCTTCAGCTCTGAGGACCTCGGAGTCACATGTGCAGCCTGAAGTGCTAATTAAACCAGAGGAATTATGGACTTACTATTTATAGGCAGGAGTGAAGACATTAAGTAGGTCATGAAACCTGGGGACACAGAAGGAGATCTTGTCTCCTGAGATCCACGTATTCCATTCCATCTTTATATTTTAAGACAGAACTTGGGTAATGCACAGTCTCAACTTGCCTAATTCTGAACTTCAACGAGTTGCATTTGGTCTTGAAGGACCACAGCTACTGCCGTTTTTTGCCTCATGAGATAAATGGGCAAACCCACTTCTAGCAAATGCTGCCCTCACCCAGTGGAAAAGTTAAAAAACCATCTTTCCAAGCATCAATGACTTCAAAAGGAACTATTTCAAACCTTTATTCTAGTATTTGGAGTTTTAACCAATAATAAGTCAATATGCTTTCACTGAATTTAAAAGTGAAAGGGAAGAAAGGAACCCCACAAAAATGTTTTTAAAGGTGTACCATTTGGGTTTCAATTATCTCACATTTTTCTTTTCACTGTGCAGAGTGGCTTTGACTGGATTGCCACAATCGAGTATCTCTCAGGAGGCCGAGTGGTGGGAACGAAAGTGCTGAAATCAAAGAACTTCCAAGTTTGAATCTGTCAGAGACTGCGTGGTAGTGGGGAGAGAGTCATTCTCCCTCTCCTCACCAGTCCCCACGTCTGTGCAATGAGGATAAAAGTATGGAGGTGCTTCTCTCTTGGGTACTGTGTGGATTGGCTAATTAAGCCCCTGGAACGAACCAGAAAATAATATGTAAGTGCTGAGTATTTATGGGCCATAAAGAGTCACAAAAACTCCCAAGGGACAAGATTCTGTGCAGATAGCACAATCTCTACTAGTGACTACTGATTACCCGCTGCTTACAAAGAAAGCCCTGGGTGGTTCGGTAACAGGGCAGGGAAAAGAAACATCACACAATGTCATTCAACACCATCTTTATTCAAAAATATATATCTATGAGACATTTCAGAATATACTGCTGCCACCAATGACAGCCTATACTTCTAAATAAAGTCCTAAATTAATATACAAATTTAAGCTTTAAAAATATTCTTTAAGAAAAAAAGGGGGAAGATTAAAGACTTTGAGGAATATGACCTAAAGGAAAGGTCCTTTGAGGCCTGTGGATGCCCTATGGATGCCCTAAGAAGAAAAAACACAAAACAAAAACCACCCACCCCACCCCGCCAGATCACCTCATACAACAAGGAGAAAGGTTGACTTAAATTAAACAAATGAAGTAAGCATACTTGGGGAGGATGTGGGAGGATTAAGATTTTAAAAACAAAAGCATTTTATTAAAAAACAGAAAAAACAAAACTAACTTCCTCACAGGAAGTCCACTAGTAACAGGTGTTAAGAGGCCAACACATTCATTTACATAATTGCTACAGTTTTATTTCTTGCTGTTGCTGTAATAATAATTATGTACCAATTGCTGGTCAAAGACTCAATCAGATAAAACATAGCAGTGGGAGAAATCCATTATGTTATAACATTTCACCTAGCTGATGGGAGCAAACATCTATTATACCCTTTGGTTGGTTTGTGGCTAGTAAAATTTTGCTTCCTTGGTGAAAGCATCAAGCACGTCCACGGGTCTGTAGAGAAACAAGCTCATATGTAGGACTACAGCAGCACGCCACACAGGGAGAGGGTATATCCGCAGAAATGCGACAGACTGGAATTCATCTTTCAATTTTAGTAGTAAAGTCACTGACTCCCCTAGGGCCTCTGGGAGAAAAACTTTAATATACAGACTCATTAATTTAATAGTGACAGGACAACAGGCAGTGTCAATAAGCAAACAACACACAGTCCGTATTTAAATCTGAAACAGCTTAAATGCTAGTAGGTTCTACAAAACTGAATACCTGCTATGACTTTCTGTTTTTCTCACTTTGTGGCAGGCAAGAGGGCTCCCTCAAGGGACGCCTGTTACACTTTTTAAAACACAGGTTATGTTTTAACATGTTTAACATGTAAAATTACATGTAACTGGCTTTTTGGTAATCCTGAAAATAGCAACTCAAACTAATGGGAGATTCTGAGGCCCCCTCTGCCGAATCCTTTCGTAGCTTTTGGATGTCAGCCTCTGGGCTACAATTCCTAATACACAATTGGGGCAAATTGTTTTCTGCCCTTTCCAATGTCAGAAATAAGCCTGCCAAATTAGAATGATTTAGTTAGCAGGCCTAGCCTTTACTAAAAGCAAGGAAAAAGTCCTAACTACATTGTGTAGTCGTAATGTCAGCTGGCATGATAACAGAATTAAAACCCCAAATTAATATCCCTGACTCCCCTCCTCCCCTGCCCGAGAGGAGCTATTTAGTGACATCTGATGCAAGCACTCCTCCTCCTATGGGCACAAGGACACGTGCAGTGTCGGATTTGCAAGGGGGACATTCAAGTTCAGTCACCATGCCGAGGACATGCACCCACACAGCGATCTAAATGTTGGTGTGTGCCCGACTTCCCCAAAGAAAGGGTCAGAGCAACACCCACGCAGAGCCCAGACTCTCAGTATGCCTTTAGCTCTTGGGGCCCACCAGTGCTGTTTCTAACAATCGCCTTCACAATCAATTATGGTCAAAAGATTGTGTTTTTAGGAGCGTGCTCTATGATGGGGGTAGAGCCCTCAATAAAGGTAGCCTGCGAAGGCTGTTTGTAGGAACCTGAAGCCAATAACTGATTTTGAACTCATACTTGTGATCCCTGTTACTGTCTGTGAACTGGCTTTATGTCCCAGATCAGCTTTGAGTCTTATTGCTCGATTCTCTAGTCTGCTTACAAAACAAATGCATCTAACCTCTGACCGGACATCGCTGGAAGTAACAGTAAGGGAGAACCAGGTTTGGCAAACTCCTTGTGGCAAAGCTGCTCCAGGGCTGTGCCTCCAGCCTTTGGGGTGGATGGTCATCATGAAAGCCAACGATTCCAGAATGAGTCCCTCAGGAGAAGCCTGGCTTGAACTTGAACTTGATCAAGCCCAACGCAGACAGGAGAAGCTGTTTTCATGACACGATGCTGTCATCAGGGACAAGATTCTTCTGAAAGCTTCCAGAAGTACACATGATTTTCATAACTTCTTGGGTGTAAAGAGAGAGCTACGGATGGAAAATCCACAGTGGCATAAAAACACGAAGTGGGAGTCTGTGTTCTTTTCAACTATCCACTCGTCACTGTTCTGAATTGTGCTCAGCGGGGAGGCCGGCGAGGCGCATCAGTCTGTGGTTCTCTCTCAAGGCTGGGAGGCCGAGGGGAGCTGGGGGGGCAGGAGGGGCAGAGCCAGGGCTGTAGGGTCAGCTCCCCAGTGACCTGCCCTCTTCTTTCTGCTGGTAGAGATGGGAATCGGGGGCACGACACTTGCCCTAGTCAGTAGAAAACAGGTCACCAGCAGAGGGCAGCGGGGCTAAGCCCCCCGTGACATTGGGCAGCAGCGAGAGGTCTGGCAAGCTCTGAATGTGGGACTTCAGCTCCTTGCGGACCTGGGTCACCCGAGCGAGCTTCTGTTTGTATTCCTAAGGAGACAACGGGAAGGCAATGCAGTGACGTGTGTGGGGATGGCAGGGTCAAGGAGCTGACACGGACACCCTCACCCTCTTGCTCCACTCTCCCCCCACCAGGTCGCCCCTCCCCTAGGCAGCTAAAGGGTTTTCAAACTCTCGAAAGATAAAATTTCATATAAAAAAGAGGAAAGCAGGGCTCAATACTGGCAACAGTATTAAATGGTATTTAACTTAGCACTTGAGATTTAGAGGTAAAAAGAAGTTACGGTTTGCACTTGCAGTGTCTTTTTATTTGGTTCTTGTCTATTTCAAAACGCCTTATAAAATAAAATACACATGCTCAGGAAATTGTTTTGAGGGCTACACCTAGACACAGCTACAAAAATCACTATAAAGCTATACCTTCTGTGTTAAACTTAAGAGAGTAACCCCGATTTATCATTTTTGCACAAAAGGACCACAGAGTAGCTCAAAATACTTGACGCCACTCCCTGTGTCTAGGACTTCCTTATTCTATGCCCGAGTAATTGCAATAAGTCTCTCATGAGGCTCTAGTCATCTCCCCTAAACATGCCAGACTTAGCTTCCAAAAGCCCAGCTTTCATCAAGCCACTCCTCTCAGAAAGCGAAGCATGGCAACTGCACTATCTACATGACTGCTCACAGCTCAAGCGCTAAAATTAGTTCCTGCCCAAATGCATTTCTCTCAGCTCCCCGCCCCGTATGCAGAGGCCACTGCCTGCATGTGCCGTTTGTCCAGGATTCTCCTTAAGCCTGGAGGGGAACACAAATCTAGACATGCGTCCTTCTCCTTCTGGTCCCAGCAAAGCGCTGCCTACCTGCCGAGTCCCACTGGCCTCTAGGAAAACCCTCCCCCATCAACCAGAAGACCGGTCCCCATCTCCGCCAGAGCCCTCCTGTGCACTGAGTGCACATCTGGGCCCCTAGCAGGCTGCTCTGAGGAGCTCTCTCCTTACACGTTAGACTTCCATATTCCTCTAAAATATGAGTCTCCTGACGACAGGAACTGGGTATCCTCTTTTCCTTCCTCAGCTCCCAGCTAAAAGTCCTCTTGGTCAGTCTGTATGGAATAACCACCTGGGCCATGGGAGGTCTGTGGTTTAGGGCCCCCTTGGGGCTTGTCTTTTTCCCTCTAGCTGTGCCACCCTCTTTGGTGCTTCTGCAAAGACAAGGATGCTTCTGAGGCTGGGTCCGTGCTGACTAAAGTCTCTCCCGCAGAGAGCACTGGACTGAGACTCAAAGACTGGGTTTAGTTCTGGCTCTGACTCTTACTTGCTGTGCAACTATGGACAGGTTCCCTCTCTTTCTTCGTCCTCACCTTCCTTAGCTGAAAATAAAAGGACTGGACCACCCCTAAGATCTTTCTTCAAGTTCTAGATACCTTCATGCCAGACACCTTATACACACCTGGAGAGGCAGAGGGTTTGAGGGCCTAAGCTTAAGCACACCTGGGAAGAGCGGTAAGACAGGAAATAGGTTAAATGAAGACCACTTCCCAATCAAAATCACAGCAAGTTATTTTGTGGATTATAGACAAACTGATTCTAAAATTTCTATGGAGGGGGAAAAGACTCAGAATAGTCAAAACAATATTGAACAGAACAAAGTTAAAACCTACTTGACTCCAAGGCTTACAGTAAAGCTATAGTAATCAAGACCATGTGGTGCTGGCAGAAGAATAAACAGACCAAAGCAACAGAATCGAGAGCCCAGAAACAGACCCATATAAATACAGTCAACTGATCTAGGACAAAGGAGCAAAGGCAATACAGTGGAGAGAAGACAGTATTTTCAACCAATGGTGCTGAAACAACTGGTCATCCACATGCAAAAAAACAAATCTAGACAGAGGTCTTACACATCCTTGTCAAAAACTGACTCAAAATGAATCACAGATCAAACTGTAAAACACAAAACTATAGAACTCCTAGAAGATAACATACATTATCTTTGGTTTGGTGATGAGTTTTTACATACAGCACTAAAGTCATGACCCATGAAGGAACTGATAAGCTGGACTTTATTAAAATAAAAAATTGCTGCTTTGTGAAAGACACTGTCGAGAAGTCGAGAATGAAAAAGAAAGACAAGCCACAGACCGAAAAAAAAATCTTTGTAAAAGATATCTTATGTCATCAGGGGAATGCAAATTAAAACAACAATGAAACATCGCCATGCATCTATTCCAATGGCCCAAATCCAGAACACTGGTAATACCAGATGCTAAAGAAGATGTGGAGCAATAGGAAGTCTCATCCATTGCTGGTGGGAGTGCAAAATGGGGCAGCCACTTTGGAAGACAGTTTGGCAGTCTCTTACAAAACTAAACACACTCTTACCATCCGATCCAGCAATCATACTTACTGCCAAAACTTGGAAGCAATCAAGATGTCCTTCAGTAGACGAATGGATAAAATTTGGTACAACCAAACAGAATATTATTCAGCATTAAAAACAAGTGAGCTATCAAGTCACAAAAAGACATGGAGGAAACTTAAACACATACTATCAAGTGAAAGAAGCCAATCTGAAAAGGCTAACTTACTATGAGTCCAGCTATATGACATTCTGCAAAAGGCAAAACTATGGAGACAGGGGTCGAAGGGAGGGTGGGGAAGGATGAATGGATGCACAGAGGACTTTTAGGGTAGTGAAATTGCTATAATGATGGATATACGAGGTGTGATAAAAAAATATGGTGAATGCTGCTGTCGAGTGCCATCCAACGGCAAGTCAGGGATCTTCAATACGGGAAGCGGTGCTTCCAGCCTTAGTAACAGCGTGTGACAAGTTTCAACTTGTTCAGTGCAGTCAGTTGGGTGTGAGCTACGGTCGAGAGAAGGTGTGTTTTAAAGTGTGCCGTAAATTGTGGATCACAAACAACGCATTAACATGAAATTTGTTTCAAACTGCAAAAAAGTGCTCAAGAAACATAGGAAATGTTAAAATTAGTTTATGGTGATGCTACAGTGACCACGAAAATAGTTTACAAGTGGTACGAGCGATTTTGTAATAGTTGTGAATCAACTGAAGATGAGGAGAGATTGGGACATCCTTCAACATCAAAAACCCAAGAGAATGTTGAGAGAGTAAGCGAAATGATTCGATCAAACAGGCGATTGATTATTAGGGAAATTTCTGAGGATCTCAACATCTCTTACGGTTCCGTTCAAAGCATTTGAACAGATTTGAACATGAGCAAGTGGGAATTTTGTTCCATGTGTTTTGACTATTGAACAAAAGCAACAGTGTTTGTCAATTTCGTTGGAGTTGCGCGATCATGATACTTCCGATTCCAGCTTTTTAAGACATGTCATCACAGGAGATGAAACTAGGGTCTATGGTTATGATCCTGAGACCAGGGTTCAGTTCTCAATGAAAATCACCCATTTCTCCTCATGTGAAAAAAGCACATCAATCAAGTTCTAACATCAAGGTGATGTTATTCATAATTGTGTTTTTTTACCTTGATGGAATTGCGCGAGCTGAGTTTGTATCCCAAAACACCATGGTGAACTCTGAATATTCTAAGGACTTATTAGAGCGCTTAAGAAACGATGTGGGGGGCCGGCCGAGTGGCGCGATGGTTAAGAGCTGGCTTGGGACGCCAGAGGGCCCCGGTTCGGATCCCACATATGAGGGCCAGTGACACTGCCCTTTCACAGCTAAGATGCTGAACAACAGCTCAACCTGGAGCTGGGCGGCTGTGAGTCGCTGGCGATGGCGTAGGCTGCAGTCCCTGTGGCAGTGGGTTGCCATGGGCTACCGTGTGTAGCCAGCAGCCAGCGTGAGCGGCCCTCAAGCCGCCGTGAGCGGCCGTCCAGAAGCCTGCAACTGATGTGCCTCGCCCGGGAAGAGCACAATGATGGTGCCAACTGGGGCCAGTGAAGCAACGTCCTCTACAACTAGACTGAAGAACAAAAGGACAGCAACTTGTCTGTTCCATCCCCCAATTCCCCAATTTAAAAAAAAAAAAAAAGAAAAAAGAAATGATGTGGGGCCTGGCTGAGCGGCTCAGTTGGTTAAGAGTTGGCTTAAGAGCGTGAGCTCTGAGCCGTCGGTTCGATTCCCACATGGGCCAGTGACACTGCGCCCAAGCTGAGTTGCCGCTGAGCTGCCAACAGGTGGCAGGATGGCTCAGCTGGTGACAGCACGTGCTCCTAACAACAAGACTGCCTGTTCGATGGTGGGCTACGCCTGCCTGCAACTAAGACTGAACTCAGCACCTTGAGCTGAGCTGTCACCCAGATGGCTCAGTGGATAGAGCGTGCGCTCTTAACAACAAGGCTGCTGGTTCAACTCCAGCATGGGATGGTAGCTATGCCCACCTGCAACTAAGATTGAACAGAGCACCTTGAGCTTAGAGGCCACGAGCTGCCAACAGAAAGCCAGATGGCGACTGGACTGGAGCTAAGCTAGCTGTGCCCTCCACAACTAAAATTGAAGAACAACTTGGCTCGTCCCCTTCCCCAGTTCCCCAATTAAAAAAAAGAAAAAAAAAGAAATGTACGTAGAAAACAGCCTGAGAAATGGGCAAATAGTTTCATCCTCCATCATGACAACGCTCCGTGTTACATATCACTTCTGGTACGGCAATTTCTGTCAAATAAAAACATTACAGTGTGTTCTCATCCACCTTATTTATCAGATCTGGCACCATGCGACTACTGGCTCTTCCCAAAGTCAAAATGACCATGAAAGGTAAACATTTTGAATCGATTCAGGACATCGAGGCAGCCACGACAGCACAACTCAAGACACTCACAAACGAAGACTTCCAGAACTGCTTCAAAAAGTGGTAAGAATGATGGGATAAGTGTTAAAAGCGAGGGGGTGTGTTTTGAGGGGGATTAATGGCAATGTGTCTTTTACTGTAATAATTTTTTTTAAATTTAAATATTCACCGTATTGTTTGATCACACCTCGAATGTCATTATACATTTGTCCAAATCTGCAGAATGTACAATACCGATGTGAACCCTAATGTAAAT